TTCTTTTTAGCTATAAAAAAATAGTTAAAGTGTACAAGAAACGCTAAAAAGAATAGACTATTTTGACTCAGAGTCGGATCGAGTCAACAAATCGAAAACGCTATAAGTGTGCGCGCGCGCGCGCACGCGCGCGCACACACACACACACACACACACACACACACACACACACACACACACACACACACACACACACACACACACACACACAGATCCGTTTCGGCTGGTATCCTCAGTAAACATATTCGTATTATTATTTAACAGTCGCGAGAGCGTGCCGCGTCAGCAATGGAGATTTTTACGGCGCGATCGAATGTTCGCCGCAATAAAAACGACGTGCGGAGCTCCTGCGCGCGGCAAACGCCGGAAATATTGTTCATATCGATTTAATAAAACGCCCGCGTTGTGGTGCACGGTGGAAATGACGGCGTTCCCTGCTTGCGGGAGGAGCAAGAAGAGAGAATATTCCAGACGAAATTTCCTTTCCTCTCTCTCCGGTATCTCGTGATCGAGACTCACGACGCGAAAAACTGCACTGCGACCCCGGATTCTCTCGCCCGGGTTTTTCTCTTCTCTCGCGAAAACAGATTCTTATATTTAATTGACGAAACATTCTCGCGTGCACATCGCGAAACGCATTTGCCGTCGTGTCGCGGCGTTTGACGGAAGAACGTTTGCGTATACCTCGTTGGAAAAAGCAATCGTTTGCTCTGCCTGCCCCGTTTTTCCTCTCGATTTTCCTGCATCGCGGCGCGATCGCGCGCTAGCGAGAGCGAAGCGGGCGAACCATCGAGTTTTGAGAAATAAATCTCGATGTTGCCGAGATTCGTCGTGGATCAGTGGAGTGGAAAATTGGACTACGTCACCGTGTTTGGTTCGTGCCAACATTTCTTGCTTTTAATATTCAATAAACAAGGAATTTGTACCCTGTCGCAGGATATTTTCGCGCGACTTCCGCCGCGCCGCGTTCATTTCGCGTAGATTGGTGAATTTCACCCGGCAATAATGTAAATAACGACGATAATGTAACTTTTTCACGTAAACACTTTTGAGGCTTTTAAATTATTAGTAGCTTTTTCTGCGTCGCGCGTCGAAAAAAAATGTAATTGCGCTGTATAATCCCGAATAAATGGATGTTTGTTTTTTTTTTTAAGTGTAATAAGCACGGAGAAGCATATCGCATACGTAAACGAAATACATACGTCATTTAAACTTTCGTTATTGTCCAATATTATGCGCGCGAGGATAACGTACATGTTCATGCGATTCAGTTTTGTGTGTGTCGACCTGTTTATTCATCCCGAAGACAATGGTACAATGGCGCCGCGTTAAACACATGCTACCACAACAGATTCGAAATGGTGTTACGCCAGGCCGGGTGCGTCTTTGTAACGACGATAATATGAGCGACCATTATTCGCAAAAGTTGCAGTGTAATATTACAGGATAGCGGAGCCACTGCATCACTTATGCATTCGTGAAAAAAAAAAAACGTACCGTCGGTGACGAGCATTCGAGCTCGAACGCGCGAGCATTCTATTAAGATAAATGTGTAAAACATACATATAGTGTTTGCTTAAAAAGGATATTTGAATAACCGTTGTGCGATGACAATAATGTTTTTATACGACGTATGTAGCAATAATAGTGTTAATCATTGAGCGTTATTGTCTTGTGAGTCCATCGGTAATGGCATTCCACTGACTGAAAGTGTTTTTTTTTTGTTACAGAGTCATGACAGCTGGCAAGGACACGATAGTGACCAGGTGAGCGCTCGATGCTTGGAAAATGCTTGCGAAAGTACAATTTGCATTAACACACACACCTCGCTTCGCTCCTTCCTGGAAGACTTTCCTTTCTGTCGCCTCCTCCCTCGCACTCTCTCTCGACTCCCTATCGCTCGCACATTTGGTCCGCTACTTTCGGAAAAGGCATGCTGACTCGGTGAGATCCTTTCGCAATTTGCATGTTGATGTGCTGGCTTCGCATAGAAACGCCACCGTTCGTTCGTTCACCGGGAGACCCCCGCGTGTTGTGCGAAATTTTCTGGGCAGCGGCAGAAACAGCGGAATGCAAATTGCGCGCTCTTAATACGGCCCCCGAATCTTCAAATTTCCCGTCCGCCGTGATTTTCGTAAGCCTTTCTGCGACACACTTGCGATAAATATGCGTCCGTTGTTACCAAAGTTTTTGACGTTAAGATACGAAACTCGCGTTCTTCGCGTAGGTGGTTGTTTAGTAAATCGAGTTATTTAAGAAATGTCTAATTTTTTTATACAATGAAGTTCAAGTATCGAACTGACTTGATGTAGAACTTGTGCAAAATTCTAGAGTAGGTTATTGATGAAATAAGAGAGAAAAAAAATGTTAAACATGTAACTTTTTACGTATAACTTAGTGACAGATCGGGCTCGGAGATGCTTCTTTGATTAATTGCACACTTAAATGTTATTTAAGACTTTTCTTTAAAAAACGAGTCATAATAGTTAAGTAATAAAAAGGTCATAATAGTTTAAAAAATTACGATTTTAATGGTCACAAAAAAGTAATAGGTCATCGGCCATTCTGGAACAAATATTTAATGTAATATAAAATGTAATATAAAATGTTGAAATGGCAAAATATCGCATAACCTCGCTAGCAATGTACATTGTACTTCACTTTCTTATCCTTGTCATTGTCACGCGGAGTAGCAATATCGTTTGTTTCATACTATTCCATTAGATATACACGTAATTTTAATATTTTATTCAAATTATACAAATATTTGTGCTTTTGGGTGGGTTTTGATGAGGCATCTCTCGGCGCTTTACTCAAGAACCATTGAGTAAAAAGACACAGGAGGGAATGAATCGGTATTGGGGAGTAGGCTGATCCGCCTACGAACGGAACTACGTCATGGCAGGCATCTTGACCGGCCACTTTTTTGGATGTTTTTCACTGAAGTGGGAGAAAAGCGCGCGAGCTCTATTGTCTATGATTGGCTTCCTTTGAACGGCCATCTTGACCGACCACTTTTGTATCTAGTCACTTTCGTCCGCTTGCTCAGAACCATACACTCCCTCCTGTGTCTTTACTCAAAGAACCACCTTAAGAGCGCAGTCTTTTGTTCTGTGCGTTATATTCAGATAAAAGCGCGCGCAGTGCGTCACAGAAAAGAATGCAGCACTTTTTATTTCATTTCAAAATAAGATTCAGTTGGTTTGTCAGAACTTACATGTGAAAGACTTCTTCAGTTTCGCTGCGAATCTTAGAAAGTAAAGAATGCATGAATATCTTGCTTTTATATTCGTCACATACCCAAGTCCGTCATGATTTTCCATTTCGCCGATTCCTCGTCGTCCATCGAGTCATTAAAATCGATTTACGAGTAATCGACGTGAGCGAGTAATTAAAACTGGCTGCAGCTGAAGGCGAGTGGAGAGGAAAAGCGATTAGCACGACGACAGCGATGCAGCGTACGCTGCAGGGCCCTTATATCGTCGTCTGGTTACATAGTTACAACATGCGGACTGTATCACGCGGCGTTATTAAGGACGCAGATGTTTAATGACGTTTATGCCGGCGACGTGAGCGGCGTGGCTTGCGAAAATATTTGTCGGATTGAGAGCGAGAGAGAACATTACGGCGCGGCGGCGACGCGCGGCGCATCGCGGTCTGACGATCGATTCTTGATCGCGCCGCGTGCTACCGTATATAGCAACTGCTGTTGACACTTTCCCGCCCTCGCGGAGTTTCCCCCGTACAATGCGCTCGCAGACGGATTCAGATTAATTAATTCCTTATTGCATGTACCGTATCTGACGCGCGATTGCTTGATTAAACGCAATAACGGCCCGCTGAGTTACACGCGAGGGAATTGAAACGGCGAATGTGCGGGGAACGTGCGGGGAGAATTGATCACTATCGTGATCCTTCATCGTGCGCAGGTTGATCGGTTGATGTGCCTTTGTTCCGGTTTCCAGCCGAAAAGGGAAGGAAACAAATTGGAAAATATTTAAAATATAGTAAATAAATCCACAATTTGGGACTTAAAAGAAGAGGAATCTTCTGTTTCCTCAATTATATCCCATATTATAAATTCTATCATTTAGTATATCGATATTTCATGGTAATGTTGCCGTTTGCATTTTTTTTTATCGCGGTGTAACGTACAGAAACGAAGTCTGCAAATAGGTCGCTGGAGCGTATCTGGCGCTTCGCTGTGAGGTATCCCCCTGATAATCCAATGTAGTCCGCGAAACACTCTCGGAGAGGAATCTGAGGGTAGACGAGACACTTAACAATGGTGCGGCGTTGAATGTGATTTAGTGTGGCGTCTAATCGGATCTATCTTGGTGCCTTTGCCGTATCTCATGCTGCTGCCGCTGCTGCTTCTCTCCGACACCGAGGACACTTAGGACGCTATTGCGATTGTCGTACCTCGAATTTGTTGCTCGTACCTCGCAGGGTGCCTTACGCCGCTCCAATTTCCGGGGCTCTAATAAGCGATTAATAACAACTTTGTGTCATACGCGGCAGATGCGTGGAGTATAAGACGTGATTTGCTTCGAACTAATTATAGCAGATTTTGAAAAAACAAAATATATATGTAATGCTACAATAGAAAGGGTAACGTTAATTTTCTATAATTCAATAACATGAAGATTTTTATGTATCAGGTTAATATTTAATTATAGATCTAATAGTGGAAAATTAAATGGAAACTTCACACGTTCGCGGCTGGTCGAAATTAAATATCGTGAATGCGATCTATTTGCCCCGCGACAAACGCGGGTAAAATTGTGTCTCGCTTGATGAGTTCTCTTGCTGTTATAGGCACTCTATCCCGTGTTGTTTTTCAATGGCCTCTTCGAACCTCTGAGAAGAGAGATAGTCCTTCAGCCGCCTTCTTGTTTCGGATGTCTACAATACGCGTCATCCATCGCGTCATCCGTACTCCCTCCGCGAGATTCTATTCTCTCTCCGGAAGCACAAAGCGCATCGCCCAACGCCCTTTGTTGTCGCGCATCGACTTCATCTCCTCTCCTTCTCGCCCGCTTCCCCTCCCTCCCCTTCCCGAGTCTCGTTGCTTTCTCTCTTTTTTCTTCTGTTCTCTTAACACATCCTCCCCGCTTTGTGGAAGGTCTCTCAAAGGGACTGGTCTCTTCTTCCGAGTTCTCTTTTGTTTTTCAGCGAAACGAAGCTTTTTTTCCTCCCCCTCGCTTCTCTCAACTCCCAATCGTCTTGTCACGGTCTAACTACCGCTAGCAAAACTCCGAAGCTCATTGCCGGGGTGTCTTGCTGCGACAGGCATGGCGCGGCGCAGCCGACTCGACGGTAAACGAAATTTCGAGATTTATTTATTTACGCGATTGCACGACACCAGGACTTCTGTTGACGTAAGCTCCAATCGGGACGTTTCCGCGAATCGGTCTTACTTCGATTGGGAAAAACTACTTTCTTCGCTTTGCCGTTTTCGCAATACGCTCGTTAGAGTACTGTATTGGGTTACACACTTGGGACTCCATGTCTTGATAATTCTCTCTTCCTTTTATGGTCCTCTTCTGTTTCTTTCTGTCACTTTGGTTCTTGCTTTTTTCATTTTCCTACATTTTTTACGACAAGCATTCAGGCTACAAAAAGGATCGGGTTCCTCGCTTAAGTTCCTGTTCTGGTTCTTTCTTTCTTTTTTTTTTTCATTATCAGGACCGCGAGGGATCCTGCCGGGACCATCGGGACCAGGCGGAGTGCACAAATCTTCACAAAAAACAAAAGAGAATGGGACACCGTCCGCAGCACACGTGCTAATTACGACGTCACGCGATCTCTCTGGAAAAACCGCGGTAGTCCTGTTTCAAAAAAATAAATGGCAAACAAAGCGAGACTCTGCTCTTCTGCTATGTTATATCGATGTCTTCCTCTTCTTTCTTTTGTAGGCAAATAGTTTCTCATGCGTATCAAAAATTGTGTAAATTGAAGTAAACTCGGCAATTGTGTAGCTTTATTTTGTCATTGAATTGATTCACCATATTAATCGTTCGATTATGGAAATATGGAAATACACATATGTATACTAATCGGTCGATACATAAATGGAGTATGAAAGATGTAAAATGTATCTTAACTGCATCGTTTTAGTTTTTAATTATTTTCCCTTCCTTCCATTTTTTCCTTTATTAGGTATCACATGTTTTTCAGATTATACTTTAGCATGTGTGTTCTTCTTTCTCTCCTTTTTTGGAGAAGATGAGATTCGTGGATGCTTCTGTACGTTCCACCGGTTCCACAACCGCTGTTTCAACGAGACAAAAGAAAATCGACGTGCATACATCGCGTTGTTTCTGCATCTCCGCCCGCGGAATCGCTCCAAATCGTCTTTAATTGTGCACGGCGCATTAATTAAACGTCAGTGTCATCACGTAGGCGAAGGTATTGTTGCATTTCGATCGTCGCGCGCGAAACTTCACGCTGTATATATGAATAATGCATGTGCATCGTCGCTTGTCAAAGTAAACGTCGCGATTTTGGCAGCGCGACGCGCTTTGTCAATTTGCGTAAGTGTGCGTATTCTGTGATTAATCCCGAATTTCAAATCAAATCGAGCCGCACGTCACAAACGTCACGTTTTGGCTCTCGCCACCCGGTAGAGTCGATCGTGACACTTTTATCGACTGAGCTCACGCGGATGGATCGTAAATCCTTCCAGGTGTCACCTGCAGCTTTATCTGATAACATTATTCTTTTTTTGTTTCTACGTAATACCGATTTCGGTAGAAACAACAGG